GAGAAAGAATGGTGGATGATTAGGTGGACAGGTAGGAGAGCAGTCAGAGAAGGAATGAAGGAATACATGAACAAACAACAGATGAACAACTAAGTGAACTAACACATCTACCTCCTTTGTACTACCCTTCCTTCTTCACTGCAACAGCCTCTGAAGAACAAAGTGACCCATGAAAACAAAATTAATTTGTAGCACCGAAAGGAAAAGTACAAATATATACTGCAAATAAATCATATAATTTCTCTCAAAATATACTTTCTTAAACTAGTTTTTTCAATCTCCAACTAATTTAAAACAAAAAGGCACAGTCCCAACTATCTGGCTTATTAACAATTCACAATTCTTATGTGGTAGCAGGCCAGTCAGATAAATCTCTAGCATTTTACTACTAGAGTTTTATTGACTTACAAGTATTATTATGAAATTATATTCCCAGACACAGCAATTTTTCCCTTCCCTTGACACATGCTACAAAAACTACTGACTTTAAATCAAAATTCTCACAGTAATTTAAAAAGTAACTGCCACCACTGGGCACCAGGTAAGCTAGTTAACAAATGTGTCACTGCCCACATCTGCTAGAATATAATGAAGCATAAAGATTTCCCATCAGCCCTGTCCAGTGTGGCTCAGTGGATTGGGTGCTGGCCTGCGAACTAAAGGGTCTCTGGTTCAATTCCCAATCAGGGCTTATGCATGGATTGCTGGCCAGGTCAGGTCCCCAGTTGGGGGCAGAAGAGAGACAACCACATGTTGATGTTTATCTCCTTCTCTTCCTTCCCTTCTATCTAAAATAAATAAAATTAAAAAAAAGATTTTCCATCAAATTATTACTCAAAGTTTTTACTGTTAGTATATAGTTATCTGAATTTCAAACTGAATCTGACATAACCCTGCACATTAAATAAAGTTAATGAAAATCCATTCAATAAAAAAAACTACCATACACATAGAATGCTTACCAAGTCAAGCAACCAACATTTCACCTTTATGAGAATACATCGTAGCCTATTAAAATTTCAAATAAGTATTCCACACTAGTTCTGTGCACTTTACTTGCTTTTTAATCATCTGATTATTCCAATTTGTATCTGTTTCCCCCCTATAGACTGTAGGTTCAGTAGTGGCAGCACCTGTGTTTTGTTCCCCACTGTATCCCAAATAACTGAGGTACTTTATTCTTTTTTCCCCTTACTGCTAATTTTAAACCTACAGAAAAGTTGTAAAAATGGTATAGAGTTTCTACATATCCCTCATGCAGCATTCTGTAATACTAACATCTTACATAACCATGGTACAATCATGAAAACCAGGAATTAACACTAATATAATGCTACAGTTAAACTACAGATCTTATTCCAATTTCACCCATTCCCCAACTAATGTCCTTCTTATGTACCAGGACTCTATCCAGAATCCCACACTGCATTTAATTACTATCTCCTCCAGTTTGTAATAGTTCAGTTTCTCTTAATCTTTTATAAACTTGGCACTTTTAAAGAGAACTATTTTGTATAATGTCCTTCAATTTGAGTTTAAGATTCCTCATAACAAGCATGAGGCTATAAACGTTTGATAAGAAAACCACAAAAACAACACTAGCCTTCTAAGTGCATCATATTAAGGGGACCCTGGTGTCAATGTCTTATTACAGGTGACATAAACCTTAATACCTGGAAATGGCAGTGTCTGCTGGGTTTCTCCACTTTAAGTTTACTATTTTTCCCTATTTACCTAACACAAATTTGAGACTGTGTACATAAATCCTGTTTCTCAAGTTTGGCATAACAACTTTAGCACCCATCAGTAGACCATATGTGTAACGAACATCACTGTAGTCTTTGTTCACAGGTGATTCTCTCTCTCTCCCTAGCGTTCCTTCCTCCTTTATTTATTTATCTTATTTATTTTTAAGACTTTATTTCTTTCCAGAGAGGGAGAGAGAGAAACATTGATGTGCAAGAGAAACATCAATCAGTTGCTTCTTGCATGCCAGGTGGGACCCGGCCTAAAACCCAGACATGTGCCTAGACAGGGAATCAAACTGGCAATCTTTCAGTTCACAGGCCAGAGCTTAACCCACAGAACCACACCAGCCAGGGCCAGCATTTACTTTTAATTGGAATTCTACATTAAGTATGAGCCGCCATTCTCTTCCATTTATTTTATTCATTCATTCATTTACTTACTATTATCATATGGACTCACGGATATTTACTCTACAATTTAAATATCTAACACTATTTATTGGCCCTGGCTGGGCAGCCCAGTTGGTTAGACTGTCATCCCAATACAGCAAGACTACAAGTCCAATCTCCATTCAGGGCACATACAACAAGCAACCACTGAATGTATAAGTAAGTGAAACATGCCCTGGCTGGTGTAGCTCAGTGGATTGAGCATGGGCCTGCAAACCAAAGAGTTGCTCGTTCAATTCTCAGTCAGGGCATGTGCATGGGTTGCAGGCCAGGTCCCCAGTGAGGGGCATGTAAGAGGCAATCACACATCGATGTTTCTCTCCCTTTCTCCTTCCCTGACCCTCTCTAAAAATAAATAAATAAAATCTTTAAAAAATAAGTAAATCCATAAATGAATAAATGTAATAGTAAATACATGTCCCTCCCTCTAAAATCAAGAAATTAATTTAAAAAATTTAAATCTAACAGTATCATTTTTTGCTTCGTTATTGAAATGGTTCCAACTTTGGCAATTATGGGCTCCTTTAATTTGACTCCTGTATCCTTTCAACATGCCCCGCCCCTTTTGAAGTATGTTCTTACTGTTTGGCAAAAATATTTCAAGCTAATCTTAAATTGTTCAGTTCTAGAAATCAACCACTTCTCCAAAATAATTCTTTGCTGGGGGTCTGTCTTATACATTAGATGATGCTTAGCAGTATCCCTGGCCTCTACCCACTAGAAGCCAATAGCAAGACACAGTTGACATACTCAAGATATCCAAATCAATAAAGTTATTGATGAAAATGAAAAATGTGCCTTTTACGTTACAGAAAAAACTAAACAGACAATTTGGCCAATCCAGTACTATGTCTAATGCCAAGTGCATACTGGAAATATCGGGATAAGGAACACTTTGTAAAGTGTATGATTGTCTAACTAACCACTCTGTTGTAGACCTGAAACTAATACAAAATAATACTGAATATAAACTGTAATTGAAAAATAAAATTAAAAAAAAGACAAAATACCACTAAGGTCTTAGCAAATAAATTTGAATTGGTTAAAAAACAAAAACCCTGTTAAGTATAAATGTAACAGAAGAAAACTGGATTCAAATAAAGATTTTCTTTGTTACAGAAGGGGCAGTTTCCTTTAATTTGTATAAGCAGAACAGACTTCACCATATTTACATTAAAAAAGAAAAAGAAAAAAGAAGCAACCAGATCCTTCAAAAAGGTCCCAGCCCTGGCTGGTTTGGCTCAGGGGATAGAGTGCTGGCCTGATAATCAAAGGGTCACCAGTTCGATTCCCAATCTTGGGCACATGCCTGGGCTGCAGACCAGGCCCCCAATGGTGGGCACGCAAGATGCAACCACATTGATGTTTCTCTACCCCTCTCCCTCCTTTCCCCTCTCTCTGAAAATAAATAAATAAATAAGTTTTTTAAAGAAGAGGCCCCTAGCCCTGGCTGGCGTAGGTCAGTGGATTGAACACAGGCCAGCCAACCAAAGGATCGCGGTTTGATTCCCAGTCAGGGCACATGCCTGGGTTGCAGGCCAGTTCCCAGCAGGGGATGCACAAGAGGCAACCATACATTGATATTTCTCTTCCCCTCTCCCTCCTTTCCCCTCTCTCTGAAAATAAATAAATAAATAAGTTTTTAAAAGAAGAGGCCCCTAGCCCTGAGCAGTGTGACTCATTGGATTGGGCGTCATCAGGCAAACTGAAAGGTCATCAGTTTATTCCTGGTCAGGTCCCTGGTTGGGAGCAGTGCAAGAGGCAACAAACAGATATTCTTCTTGCATATTGATAGTTTTCTCTTTTTCAGAGATATTCCTTTCTCTCTCTCCTTCTCAATTCTCTCTTTAAAAAAAATAAATAAAATCTTTTAAAAAAGGTTCCTCATGTAAGGAGGAACAACTCCTCATGTAAGGAGTTGATGTGGAAAGCTGTATACAATAGTGACTCTGAAACTTTAGGGTATACCAGAATTACCTGGATAATTTATTCAAGCTCTACCCCTATACTTTATAGGGAGAAGTTGGAGACTTTCTAACAATTACCCAGGTTAGAACACTGGTGCAGCTTTGTCTAAGTAGGTCAGAGTAAAGTTAGAGTAGTTCCAAGACAGAAACATGTATACAAACAGAAACAGATACACTATTGAAAAAGTAAACTAAAATATACTGAATACTACCTATACCCAGACTGTGAAGACACTTCACACCGATTCATGGTTTTGCACTTTCTGCTTTATCTTTTATTTCCTATGAGCACCTTACTTGCTACACAAGCATTTACTACTTTTATAGCACTTTCAAAAACAAATTTTAAGTTTGCTTTAATCATAGCTTTGATCATAACATTTCCTAATTATTATATTTGAAACTTTTAAGAGTAACATTTACCTAATTATAGTTCACAAATATTACAGGTACATGAAAAGCTGTTAATTTGTTTATACATAAAGCCATTCATAGCAGTGCTATACATAGGAAAACAAAAAGAGAAACTGAAATAAACGCTGGTGCATTCTTATAGTAAATTATACACATTAATGCGTAGGCCTCCTATGTAAGGTCATACTGTATGCAACCAGTGTCAATAACCAGCTAAAAAAAAATCCTAAGAATAACAAAGACTTATGCTAGTTTGTGGAGTAATTGCCCAAGTATAGTCAAAAAGTAAACAGTTTTATTTGTATTTTCCAACCTGTACAATCTGTTCCCAATGGAAGAGTGAAGTTTTATTACTAACACACAAGAACTATGTGTATTCACATCTATGTTACACTGTTATTTTTGTTTGTTTGTTTTTTACCTCAGTTGTATTTGCTTTCGTTTTTGCAGCTCTTGGTTCCTGAGTTCTTCCAGGCGTCTGAGTTCTTCTTGACGCCTCATGAGATCTATAAAATATTGATTTCCCATTAATATTTTAGCTGTACTTGTGTATTTTTATATCCATGAACATACAAACTCTCTATTACTGGCAATATAGAGAGTAATTTATTCATACTCATGCACCCAGTATCTACTGTATCACCTGATAACAAAAGATCATAAGCTGTGTAATTAATTAATCAAGTTAATATCCTTTCTGGGACTGTTTCTTCACATGTATGAAGAGAAGAGTAAAATTCAACCTTCTGCTTATAAATTAAAATAGGCAAAGTTTTTTAACATAGAAATTAAAATATACTAAAAACAGAATAAAATGATACATGAATTTTAACTTACATATTTTAATCATAGTAAAAATTTTCAGCAGCAAGTACAAAGTCCAAAAAGATGTCTTGGGAAATATCAGCAGGTCAGAACCAGACCAGACTAGACAAATAGTAGGAATAGCAGTAAGACACTGCATAAAGCCGAGATCATCCCTCCCAACACAATTAGTGTTAACATTCTTCCTACACCAAGTCAATGTCTTAGGAAAAAAGGCAAGAAGCAAAGAATTCCTGAAAGAGGAAAAAGGCTGAAGACTGAGATAAACAAGATCATTTTAAACAAGACAAGCATTCCCACTAACACCATACTTCCTATATCAAGAACAGGGTCTCCCCTGGCTGGTGTAGCTCAGTGGATTGAGCACGGGCCTACGAACCAAACAATTGCAGTTCGATTCCCAGTCAGGGCACATGCCAGGGCTGCAAGCCAGTTCCCTGCAGGCCACTTCCCAGCAGGAGATGCATGAAGGGCAACCGTACATTGATGCTTCTCTCCCTCTCTCCTTCCCTTCCCCGCTAAAGATAAATAAATAAAATCTTTAATATAAAAAGAACAGGGTCTCCACAGTAGTAAAAGATAATTAAAAAGTACATTTTTTCTGCACATCTGAGAAGTAGTAGATTAACTTTCCAAGTGCTAAAAATATTTATAATATCTTACCAAATTATGTCTGATTACATGCATATTTAAAAATAGAAAACCATTAAAATACTCTGAAAAGCACAATTATTGGTTACTTTTATTTCTCCTTGTCTCTTCAGGTTATCTGATTTTCTAAACTGAACACAAATTACCTAAATGTTTTTTAATAAATCATTACATTAAGAACTTACATAATACTAATACTTTGTTTTAGTTAACTTTCTATGTGGCAATAACCCTACCATCGTAACCATATCACTGGCAACACAGACCTAACAAGGTGAATATTATCCTCCACTTTCATACACTGGAAACAGACTGAACTGTGTAGTATGCCACAGAATACAAAAAATCAGATAGATTATAAATGTGCTTTAGCCATCCACCTATTGCTAAGCCAAATCTACCCTCATTCCAAATTCTTTCAATCTTTCTAGTACCCCAAACCTAGATAATCAAAGGCAACTGAGAAACTTAAAAAATAAAAATTAAAAAACAGATTTAGAGACCCTGCTAAGGAAAGTCAGTTTTGGTGCGTGGGGTAGGGACCAGATGATTACATCAGTTGAGATAACACTTAGCTATAATAAAGGACATTAAATATGACTACGATGATTTCAAACATTTATACCATTAGTTGGCAGCTATAACTAACTGCTTATTAGAATTACTTAAATACCTTTTAACCACATATCAGTTAAATCAAAATATCTTTTTTTTTAAATTTATTTACCTTTAGAAGGGAAGGGAAGGAAAGAAGAAGATAAATATCAATGTATGGTTTCTTCTCCTACAGCCCCTGCTGGGAACTGGGCCCTGCTGGGAACTGGCCTGCAACTCAGGCATGTGCCCTGATGGGGAATTGAAAAATCAAAATATCTTTTTTTTTTTTTAAGATTTTATTTATTTATCTTTAGAGGGGAAAGGAAGGAGAGAGGGAGAGAAATATCAATGTGTGGTTGCCTCTTGTGTGTCCCCTGCTGGGAACTGGCCTGCAACCCAGGCATATGCCCTGACTGGGAATCGAACCGTGGTTGCTTGGTTCCCAGGCCTGCGCTCAATCCACTGAGCTACACCAGCCAGGGCTCAAAATATCTTGAGATGTGGACAAGACATCAGTATTTTTATTTGAACCCCCCTAGATGACTCCCCTGTGCAACCAACACTGAGAGCCATGCAACTATCATACAATTAATTTAGTGGGAAAAACCAAGTAGAGACCAAAAATGTAACGTATTTATATTCCTAAGAAATTATTCAATAAGCCAAAGAACAAAAACTGTCCCACTATCGCCTGTAACAATTTCAACGTAGTTTTGGAGGTTGCTGTAGATTAGCTGCTCTTAAAATTAGAGCCTATCTACCATATATAATTATAAAAGTGAAAACAGGGAATACATTTTCATCCATAAAAAGGAGTAAGAAAAATGTTTCTTTTCAGACAACTGGAATTTCTCCTTTTAAGCTGTGCCAGTTGAGAAAACTGCTTTAACCTCTTAGATCACATCTCCTTACCTGTAACACTGATATAATAGTTAGCTCAAAGCCCTGACCAATATCATTCTGATACTCCTGATGCCAAGGTTGCAGGTTCGATCTCCACTCAGGGCACATACAAGTATCAACTAAGGAATGGATCAATAAGTATAACAACAAATCTATGTTTTTGTGTCTCTTTTTCTCTTTCAAAATCATTCAATAATGTTTTTTAAATTATTTTTAATTAGCTGAAACGACTAGATAATATAACTATCATGTAAGCATGTATTTGATACTAAAAAGGAGCAATATCAACTTGAAACTAACATTTTACATTTAATAAATTATTTCTTTTATTTTGTTAATATCCTAAGTTCCTAAAATTTCACTAAGGTGTATACAGCCCCCCCAAAAAATATCCTTTTGGAAAAAAATTACCAAAAAAATATATAATTAGATATGTTTTTATCCTTTGATCCGTTAAATAACAAATTAATAGGAATATTGCTTAAAAATATAACACAAAGAAATCTGTACACATAAAGACAGTCATTGTAGTATACTACTGACTACCAGACCAAGTTAACATTTTTACTTTTTTTAAAGATTTAACTTTGATAGAAAGGAGAGGTGGGGAGAAAGAGAGGGAGAAAAACGTCGATGTGAGAAATATAATCTGTTGCCTCTCACGCACCCCTCCAACCAGGGACCTAGCCCTCAACCCAGGCATGTGCCCTGACAAGGAATCACACTGGTGACCTTTCTGTCTGCGGACAATACCCACTGAAGCACACCATCAGGGCTAGACCTAATAACATTTTTTAAATGCTTACCCTAACAAATTTAACAATAAAAGAACATAAAGTTATATTAACACTATAATTCCAATATATCATAAATATAGATACACAGCAAAAGTAAAAACAGAGAAAACTATAGATAAAGTTAAAGGTCGACTTATCCCTGGCTGGTGTAGCTCAGTGGATTGAGTGCGGGCCTGCAAACCAGACAATCGTGGTTCGATTCCCAGTCAGGGCACATGCCTGGGTTGCAGACCAGTTCCCAGCAGGGGACGCATGAAAGGCAACCATAGATTGATGTTTCTCTCCCTCTCTCCTTCCCTTCCCCTCTAAAGATAAAAAAAAAAAAAAAAAGGGTTGACTTACTAGACTGTAAGAAACTGTTTCCCTTATTGAAAAGCCTTTAAGTAATGAAAACTGAATGTACATTCTCTGACCTAACAAGTTCACTTCCTAGAAACACAAGAATTAAAATTACAGATTGAAAGGATATATCTACTTTCCAAGAAAGGCTGAAATATTATGGTGTACAATAAAATATATCTTGAATACAAGAAAGAAAAAATGAAAATATATAATAAAGCAAATATGGTAAAATGTTAAAATATAAAGAGAACACCTTGATATTCGTTCAAGTTATTTTGTTTACAACTTCTCATAAGGAGACTTCCAGCCAAGATGAAGATGTAGATACAAACCATACCTCCACAAACAACCAAAAGAAGGACAACAATAAAATTTAAAAACAAAAAACAATCACAACTGTCAGAAAAATCGAACTGTATAGAAATATTGACAACCAAGGAGGAAAAGAAGAAACATTCATCCAGACCAGTAGGAGGGGCAGAGATCGGAAGCCAGGGTGGAGAGGACTCACAGCAAGACAGTGGATGGCAGACCAGGCGACCCCATATTTGCGTGCAGACAAACCGGGAGTAACAACTGGAAAGTGAGACAGACTGAGCAACCCAGGGTTCCAGTGCAGGGAAATAAAGCCTTGAAATCTCTGACTGAAAAAACCTGTGGGGGCTGAGACGGCAGGAGAAAACAGCCTCATAGGAGAGTCCATTGGATAGACCCACAGGTGCAAGAACATACATAAAACCACCCTCCTGGGAATCAGCACCAAAGGGCCCAATTTGCTTGTGGGTAGCAGGGAAAATGAATGGATGCCAGCCAGAGACCCCAGTGCCATTATTACCTCTCAGAACCCTCCCTCATATACAGTACCGCAATAAAGTGAATACCTAAGGCCCCGCCCCTTTCAATGTAACAGGCACATGAAGACAAAAAATATGGCCCAAATGAAAGAAGATATCAAAACTCCAGAAAAATAACTAAGTGATGAACAGCCAACCTACTAGATGCAGAGTTCAAAACACTGGTAATAAGGATGTTCACAGAAATGGTTGTATATGGTGGCAAAACAGAGGAAAAAGTAAAGGCTATGAAAAGTGAAATAAAGTAAAATACATAGGTAACAGTGAAGAGAAGTGGAACTCAGATCGACAATTCAGAAAAAAAAGGAAGAAATAAACATCCAACTGGAACAGAATGAAGAAACAAGAATTAAAAAAATAAATAAATAAGGAGAGGCTTAGGAACTTTCAGAACACCTTTACACATCTCAACAACCAAATTATAAGGATGCCAGAAGGAGAACAACAAAAGCAAGAAATTGAAAACTCATTTGAAGCAATAATGAAGGAGAACTTCCCACACCTGGCAAAGGAAATAGACTTCTGAGAAGTCCAGGA